TTCCCATCTTTGTTTCTGAGCCTGTTTGGTGCTTCTCAGCCGGGCAGCCTGACGCTGATGAGTCTGATCGCTCATCCGTTCACACAGAACATGGGCAGAGTGGTTCTGGCTCCGGAGCAGCTTGTTTTCAGCTGCTCTGCAGCCCCTCGCTATCGGTCTGAGACTTGAACCCGTTTCAAGCCTTTCGGAGCCAGCGGAGCAGATGTTCTGAGCGTCCACAGAGCTGATTGGAGACGCTCGGTCCAGTTTTAAGGGCCAGTTTGGCAGCAGGTCGCTCAGAGTCCACCTCCACCTGCAGCCTGCTCTGAGGAGAGCTAATCAATGCTTTCTGGCTCCTGCCCTTTGCGCCGGGCTCAGGCTGGATCTGCTCCCTCCTCCGGGTGATTCTGGAGAGAACAGGTCAGATTGCTTCAGCACAAAAGGCGGATTGATTGCAGCCAGACTTTGTGCTCGCTGCAGCAGGGAAGGGGGGGAAAGCTGAGCCCCGGCGTGGGCTGTGGGGTCGGCACTTGGTGGGGAAATTTGGATTTGGTTGTGTTTTGCCTCAAGGACTTTTCTGTGGAACCAGAGGCAGAAACAGACACGTTTTGACCAGGTCCAGACATGTGATCCTCACTCGGAGAAGCCCCACTGCTTTGAGTTGAGTTCAAGGGGAAAAGGAACAGTTTGTGGTTTGTTTTGCACAAACTCGGGCTTCGTTTAAACAGTTCTGGAGAAACGCTGGTGCAAAGAGTTTGATATGGGGCTAACGTGGCCTCTCTTTTCATACTGGGGATTCAAAAGGCTGAAAACTTTCAGTTTCGTCCAAACTGGACCAAAAATTAAGCTAATACGTTGGCTCCGGCATTAATCTATCTTTTATCTTAACAGATTTATGTGATTAGGACCAAAGAGGCTTACTTTTGTCAGCTTTAAGACGTCTTGTTAGAGGTGTTTTTGGAGTATTGATGGTTTTTCCTCTCTGTTATTCTAAGCAATTTGCTGCTGCAGTCTGTAAAAGAATGGAAAAGTTGAGTGGTTAGGACATTTTCCAGGGCTGGATAAGTAAGAGAAAGAGGAAACCCAGTGTGTTTAAAAGATACATGTGGCCACCATGCTTTTCCCTTTTCATTTGTCTTTTGCTTTAAAGCCTTCAATGTAACTTTAAATCATTCTTCCCTTGATTTTTGAGACTCCAAATTGATTTATTATTATAATTTTTGGCATAGTGGACACTAAGTATGTCCACTTATTATCGTTATTATATTATTTGTATATTCATAGTTGTGTTATAGGATCAAAATGAGGAAAAAGCAAAACTGTGGACCAAAGCTGCCGTTTTCCCATCTTGTGAGTGTTGTCGGTGGCAAAATAGCTGATTAGTTCTGGAGGTAAAGCTCAGAGCACCCACAGGTAGAGTTTACAGATGGCAGGGTACAGGAGTGACGACCTTTAAGCAGCCAAACTGTGTCAACACATCATTCACACACGTATGTGCAGTCAGACCTGTCAGCCAGCCGGTTTGCAGCAGCCGAGAGCTTTTTCTTAGAAAAGGAACATTCCTTAAATGTGTTTTTTTCTTTGCACAGATTAAGAAAAGTCGTCACACACCTCTTTGTCACGTACTTTTGTCCCACTGAGCAAATAATGAGTTTGGAGAGCCTGAAACCAAATCAACAAGAGTGAAAAGGGGAGTGTAACGAAAACCAGATGTCCTCTGTCCACTCCTGGAGCTGTCAGATGTCAGTTACCTCATGGGCTTGGACAGAGGGACAGAGAGGGAAAAATAACTGTGTAATCTCACATAACTCCAGCGATGAGGCTATTTAAAGGCCTTCAGATGGCCGGCGCTGGCTCGCTGTGACCTCCGTGCAGCGAGAGGCGTCTCATCAAAGTGGGAGTGATGTCAGCTCTTTTCAGCTTCTTTACCTTTAGAAAACGCTCTTTTATCTTTGCATTTTTCTGAATTATTACCATGTTCTTTCCGGTTTCTGCCGGCTGTCTGCTTTGCTCTGTGCCTGTTTTAACAGAATAAACACGCTTCTCTTTTGCTTTCCTTTTTAAGCTGTGGTGTGATTTGGTGGCTGGTAGTTCGTGTTTCCGCTTAACTCTCTGTGGTTAATGTCTGAATGTGATATGTGGGGATGAGTGAAAGTCCCTCTCATACTCGCTGACACGCGATGCGACACAAAAGGATGCTTTCACATGAAGGCAGTTTGGCTGAATTTGGCTTAAGCATGGCTCCCTTTGCAGTGCTCTCCTGCGTTTGATTATGAAGGGAGTTATATTTAGCTCCCTGGCAGCAGCTTCTGCTTGATTAAAGCTGGAAGATTTGCCTGGTGGCGTTGGCGCTCGCTGGCTGAACGACAGGCTGCCTGCCTGGTTGCTCACTTGGTTGGTTGGCAGACGGGATGTCTCGGTGTCAGTAGGATGAAATAACAGCAGCTCACTCTGCTCTTGTGCCTCCTCAGGGCTACAACAGAAACTCTGTACCAAACAAATCATAAGTCCTGTCTGAGTCAGCAGCTCCCTCCATAAACAGTGGAGTTCTTCCATGAATTTCTAAGAAAAGGGAGATATAAAACAGAGCGGAGGGCAGATAACGGCAGCCGTTGTGGGTCTGACGGGGAAACTGTACTGTGGCTCCCTCTTTGGTTTAAAGATGAGAGCTGAATCTCATTCACAACCCGAGAGAAACCAAAGAGCTCAACACAGCGGGGGAAGCATGATGATGTGGGCTGGTTCTGCTTGGAGTCCACCATGTTAGGCCCTCAGATAAAGCTGGAGCCGGCCCACTAACGGGCCAAAGACCCGAACACAGCAGCAGATCTACAGCAGAAAGTCTGAAGAAAACAAAAATTAACTTTCCATTTTTAGCCCTGACTTTCAGGCCCGTTGTGTTTTTGCTGCTCAGAGGTAGCTGTTGCCCTCGATATTCCTCTGCTCTTGGAAAAAAAAAGCTTTAATCTTCCTCCTTGTTGCTCGGCTCCTGCCGCCGTCAGAAACAATAAGACGCCTTTTGTTGTGTGTGTTGTGAGCAGCTCGCAGGCCTCCTGTTGCGTCCCTCCGCTCCTCCCTGAAACGGTAAACTCCTATTTATCAAAAGGGGAGCTGAGAGCTAGAAAAATAACTGTCAACATGTTGGATTTGAAAACTGATGTGGAGGGCTTTACTCCAACATGCTGAGAGCTTGTTTCTTTGGTTTACTTTTCTGTCACACCTCTAAAATCGGTTCTTTTAATTAAACCAGACGGGGGGAGGGTTATTTTCCTTAATGTGCACACAGATGGAAACCAAACAGTGGATGTCCAGTCATCTGCTAGCTTGATAAAAACATAGAAGTGGGAGTTCCTCCAGCTTTCGTCTGTCTTTCCTTCTCTCAAACGGGAACATCTTTACCACGGTGACGTGACGAATAGATGCCTTTCACAAATGTGGTGTGTTTGCTAAGAAAGTCAGCCAACTTCATTAACCTCAGACGGAGTTAAAAACAAACTGTGGAGCTGTGACTCAGAACCTGATATCAGCAGGCATATGCTCAAAGTCGCCTGTGATGACTGAAGTGGTGGGTGGAAACTTCTCTGGGCTGGTTTCCATCCAACTGTTGGGCTGTCAGCGTCTCTCTTCATCTCTCCTTCCTCCCCTGATAGAATCTGCAGAACCAGAGGTGTCAGCCGTCTCAGATCAGTGCACGGAAGAGCAGAAAGGAAATGAAATTTTTACAATTCTTACACGCATACTGCAGCTTTTTAATAAGTAAAGGGGAGTCGGCGGTGAGCACGAGGATGGAGCCACAGCTGGAGCAGCTGATGGGTGCTCACCCGACCTAAATGCCACATTTCAGCCGTCTGGGCTTTTATCTGCCGGACGCTCGTCCTCCTTTCCGCCTGCTTTTGTCCTGTAAAGGGCAGCGTGTGACGCTGAGGCTGTGAGAGGACAGGAGAGCTGATTTTGTGACGGAGCCGAGGGCAACATGGAGGACACATCGGAGCAGCTGCCTCCTTCCATTGTGCTAAACAAAGGGGTCGGCAGAGGGAGGTTTCATCTGCTTTTTGGTTTCTTAGCGTCACTGTGGGCTGAACTGCCGGAGCTCTGTGGTCCTTGTGGTTTTTTTATTGTCAGAGGTGATCCTGCTGGATCTCAGCCAGGTCTGACCACAAATGAAGGGGCTGTCTGCATCTGAGAAGTCTCCAATTCTGGAGCTACTGGGCTGCTTCAGCTTAGGGTGGAGGTCTTCAAACGGGGGGTCCGCTGCCCCTAGGGGGTCCGCAAAGGTACTGCATGGGGGTCGAGAAAGTTTTGGTTGATTAGCCCCCCTATTCAATTGTTTCCACTAATGTAAATGTCTTTAAATCCACATGAACAGGAGTCCAACAGACTGTAGTAAACAGATAAATGGAGGCAGAAGATGTATTTCAGTCATCAACGCTCACATTCAGCCACACACAGGAGCTCTTTCAAGCTGGGCCCCGTTTCAGTCACAACACCTGTCCCTCCAACCAGGAACCAGAACCAGATATTTACAGTAAAAACGGGAACACATGAACTTGTGGATTATCTGAGTATCTTAGTACTAAATGCCCAATAACAAGTTACATTTACGCACTATAGGACCAGTTTGATATAACACAATATAGATAATTAGGGGGTCCTTTCTCCATCTCGCCATCAGTTTGGGGGTCCTTGGGTTAGGGGATCAGCCCCCCCTGGCCCCTGCAGCTGAATTATTCTTTGGTTGTTTCATGGAAACGGGACAGATCAGAACGAGTCTCCCAGCAAACTACCACGGCTGACATTTATAGGCGTAGATGGAGAAGTCTGTGCAGATCTGTGAGCTTCTTTAATGAAAGCTCAGGTAAGAAGCTGTGTGAGGAATGCAGCGTGCACCTTTTTGTTTTTATAGCGTCCTGGTGTCAAAGCCTCAGTTTTAATCTTCCCCTGAAGCTCATTGTGTACAAATACACGTTTTTCAGGCTCTGCTCTTTTCTGCTTCTCACATTTTTCTCTCTCTGTTCCCGCAGACCTCCTAAACGGAGCCCAGGAGAAGTGCGAGCTGCCGCCTCTGGACGGTTTCCCTCACTGTGAGAGCAAGCTCAAGGTGAGCAGCCCCAGGGATGATGTCGCTCAGAGCTCAATGTGGCCTCCCAGCATTGTTGCTGCCTCACAGTCTGACTGACAGACGACGTGATGGGAACGGAGAGTCCACATTATGTGACTGTGAGGGTTTAAAAAATGCTGTTAAGGGTGCTCCTGTTCATACCACCAGACCCAAACAGGCTGAAGTTACATTTCTATTCCCCAGAGAACAAAAAAAGCCAGCAAAGTCCCATTAAATCTCTTCTTAGTTATAGATTTTTCTGACAAATTGTAGTCACTTAAAGCCTTTTCAGACCATCGCTCTGCTGGACCAAAGCCTGATCTGACTAAATCATCATTTAAGTAGCTAGAAGGTAGTAGCTTGAAAATCCAGCATTATTTTTGGACTGACTGAATGGTGTGAAATGAGCAGAATGTGTCCAATCTGGAGGCTTGTTCAGCACCAGGATGTTAGACTGGGCGAGACCTCTTAAGGCGGAATGAGAGACAACTGGAGCTTCTCCACAAACGGGCAGAAACGCGTTTAAAGGCCTCATTTTCAGCCATTTCTAACTGGCTAAAATTGGATCTCAGTAGAGCTTCGACCACTCAGATTACAGCCCTCATCTGATTGGCTGTCCAGGTTCAGGCCAGAAGCACCAACGCTCACATACCCAAACTCCATGTGGTGTTTCTAGTCTTGTGCACCATCTGCTGCGCCAGTCGCAATCTCCCCCTGATTTTACGAGTGCACAAAAAGCCAAACTGGTGGATTAAACTGGTTTAAAGAGTAAAGCAGCTCCCAGAAGCCCAGGTGGCCTCAATGAGCTCCCCCCCCCCCCCGGTCCCCCTGTTGGACGCTGGTCCTCAGGAGGGCTCCAGTCAGAGGACAGGAGCTGTGTTCATTGCTTTCATGTTTCCATTCCCGTTTGTCTCTTTTGTTCGGATGGTTTCAGGGGAAATGAGCTTTCCACATTCAGATGCAGAATAAACCGACCCGCCAGTCCTCTCACATGACTCTGATTAAGGGGGATTGTGTCTCGGGTGTTTTTTACCCCCCAGGACAGCTGGTCACTGGTATTACTCAAACAAAAATTGTTCCACTAAAGCTCAACTCCCAGCAGGATACAGATATTTCCTGAAGTTTGAGCACAATGGTGAGTTGGGCTCAGGTTTTAATCTCTCCTCCTCCTCCTCTTCCTCCTCCTCAGTGGATGAAGGAAATGTGGCGCTCAGACTCCTGCTATTCCAACTATGGCGTGGACGGGTCCACCTGCTCCTTCTTCATCTACCTCAGCGAGGTGAGTCCTCCCCGATCCAGTTTCCTGGGTTTTTATACCCTGAAATGTAGCTTTTCGAATGGTTGAAGTTAACAATGTGACCACGTATCGGTGACATTTTCACAATGAAAGGGTAATTACATTTCAAGACAAGAGCAGGAGGGGTTTGAGGAAAGGGTCTCATGATCCACAGCCAGAACACCCTGCGAGGGATCACAGAGAAATGAAGGGGGGGAGAAAAGGGGGATTTCATCTTTTATGAGAGCAAATGACTGCTGGAGAGTAGATGAGGGGGGGGGGGGGGGGGGGGGGGGCATTCAGAGGGAGTGGAAGGGTGTGAGCTTCCAGCCTCTGAGGGAGGAAAGGGTGACTTTGCTTCCATCTATATCCACATATCCTCCTGCTTACATTTCATTATTGAGATACAAAGGCCTCTGCTCCTTTCTGGGACACATTTCCCCTTAAGTTTCTAAATGAATGTATCACAAGTTTAGATTAAAGCTGATTAATTCCTTCTATTCATACCTGAGTACAAAAAAAAAAACTTCTCAGTTCTCAAATCCTTAAAGGTTTTGAGTCCAGTATGAATATTTGATGTGAGATGAAAGTCTGACCTGAGGCAGGAAGGAGACGGACGCTGGGCTCCATGTGGTCATGTGACCCGGCTAAGGGCGCCATTTCAGGGCTCAGCCAGCAGGGGCGCATGCTGGAAACAGAGGAACAAAAGCTCACACGTTTGGTGGTTGTGACTGACAGCAGGAAGAACCGCAGCCGAAAAAGGAGGAACTGACTTCCTCAGATTGCATTTGATGAAATCCGGTAACAGAAAAACTGTGAACTTCGTCATAGGTCGGGTTAAAACGGAAGTTTTAGCAGTTAAACTGTCAAATGAAACCCCAAATTCAATGCAACCATTGGCAAATCTTACCCAACAAAGTTGTATTCACAGGGATAAAACACAGCACAACATGCCTCAGACCTCATCAATAGGAAAAGAGTGTAAAACTAAATGTGATTTCTTGGTAGAAATGATGGAGAAGCTTCTTTTTAACTGAAGCTGTTCAGCTTTGCTGATAGCAGATGTTCTTTAGCTCCATTTAATGTGTGCAAATGTAAATCTGGGCATCTTAAATAATGCATGCAGGACCTCTGCTGAGCGCTCACAGCAACACATCAGTTTGAAAACTGTTTTAAAGTTGTGAATGTTACTTTAGTTACAGTATGAAGTCATAAGTGGAATGGGCTCAAGCTTTTAAGACTAAATCACTCTATATAACTGAGGCCATAAATCTGGGGCTTCACTGTCTCCATGTGCAGTGTTTCACTGGTATCCATGTTACATTCAATGACAAATGGAAATTTGGACAATACGTGGCAGATTTACCAACTCAACCTTCAGAGTATTTGTTCACTGCCTGGATAAGGAGCTCTTTAGCCGCTTTGTGTTCTCTTTAATCCAATGAATTAAATATCCCACAAATGTTGTTTTCCAAAGGTGGAGAACTGGTGTCCTCGTCTGCCCTGGAGGATGAAGACCCTGAAAGAGGAAACAGACCGGAGGGGACAGGTGAGAACCCCTTATCAAAAATTTGTGAGAGCTCTAACATCAAGAGATCTTTTTATATTTGAACAGTTCAGAGAAAAACTCTTTTAACAGACTTTATTTTTGCATTGTAAGCCTTTTTTTTCACACTTTATACCTTAAGTGCTCTCGCTTTGATCAGTACGGTTACCTTAAAACGTGTTTCCACCATCCATCCGTCCTGAAATTCCTTCTTTTCAGGGCAGAAATATGCAAATATTTTGTATGTTGAGCTCAGATTGAGACTTGTCCCACTCCTGTCCTCCACTTTTTGGCCCGTCTTTGCCTCCTGTTCCTCTATCTTCTGTGGATTCTGCCTTTCCATCACATCTGGAGTGGAATCGGCTCATTTGACACGTTGGATTTTGAAATAATTTAAATAAACGCTGCAGGTTCAGTGCAGTGAATGTTGACAATGTGAACCATCTCAGATTTAGACGGTTTAACTTTAAACAGGCAGCTGTGCCTTAACAGGAATCCACCTTCAGGCCCGTTTAAAGGCACGGGCTGCACTGTAACATGCAAATCAAACCGGTTGAGCTCACAGAGCAAAGCTGGAATGACTGGATCCTCCGATAAATCTGGAGTAATGATCTCCTCCCCCTGCCAGTCCGCTCAGATCTGCGTCCTGAGGCCCCACAGGCGCCTTCAGTCCACAGTATCGGCGCCTCACAGGCCATCCGCGGACCAATCGATATTAAGCACTCTTCATGGACGCGTCCACAGCCCTCTGTGGTGGGGAGGTTTTAATTCAGGCCCAGGTTTTAATAGAGATTGGCTGTCGGGATGAGGGATGCTAATGCCTCACACCGGCCTGAGCAGCTGTTAATGACTGTGGCCTCTCAGACGCTGCTGTTCTGTCACCTGCTCTGGGCCAGTTTGGGAATTTATTCAATCTGACAAGCAGACAACAACGTCTTCGCCTTCCTGTGTTGAGATGTGATCGGTTTATAGAGTCCAGCAGATTCTCACATCAGTTTGACTTCTGGTTCTGAACGGATGAGACAGCCAACCTTTCTCTGCCTCTCGCCTCCTTCATAAAGGTGCAGAAAACATGTCGCTGCTTGATCCACAGTCCTCATCTGTCCGTGCCTTCTCTTTCCTTAGATGTTCCTTTTCCTCTGATGTCGTGGCTCTGTGATGAATTCCTCTCTGTGCAAACCAAAGAAACAAAATAGCTTTTAACTGGGACAACGTGGAGCCTCAAGAGATATTCTTTCTTCACATCTTAGCAGAAGTAAAGATATAGATACTGACACGAAAGGATCAGTTTAGACAAGAAATTAAATCTAATGTGTTCAGATTTTCATTGTTTTTGTTTTTTGCTCAAATTTAGATTAGAAAAGGTCAGAAAAAGGAGGAACACACCTGCAAAAACTTCACACAGACACAAAACAAACCTTTACATTTGACTGAAAAATGCATTTAGTTGTTGATTAAATGCTGATAATTAAAAGAATAAGTGACTTTTTGCTAAAGGTCAAGCAGAAAATGTGGACTAAATGAAAGGATTTTATATTTGTTATTGAACAAATACATGCATAAAGTTTTTTTTTTTATTGAAATTTTCTATTTATGAGGTTTTAGGCGACTGTACTTTGAAATGGACTCAAATGAAAAAAAAGCAGCATATTTAAAACCAGTTTGTGTGCAGGCGGAGATCCGCACCAGTTTCGAGGGGCTTTACCGCTCCATGTCACAACGGGAGGAGTTTCGCTGGATGATGCTGAGGATCAAACGCATGGCGGAGCCCTGGGTGGGCGCCATCCGCTCCCTGGCCGCCAAGCAGAACCTGGCCAAGCGGCGCCGGAAGAAGGTGGGGACACCAACACCGTCTGATCCAAACTCAGATCTGTGCCTCCTCTTTTTGTCGTCATGTCGTCAGAGTAAAGACAATTTCTCCTGAAATTAATCCACTCATGTTAATCCCAGATGAGTGCACTCTGGGGCATGACAACAATGAGAATCACTTTGGTCTGAAGGCGAGCAGAGGCCGACTGTGCACGCTATCTGCAAAGATTTGCAAAGGCAGTGTAAATGTTGTCGGGTAGAATTTCACTTTTCCTTCTTTTTGCACATGAATTATGCAAAAAAAAGTTCAAGTTTCTGCTCGGAAATGCTGAAAAACACACTGGCCTCCATCTATGAATGATTCATTAGCGAGCGCTGTTCTGTCCTCCACCAGATCCTGGTTCACTTGGGGCTCCTCACCAAGGAGTCGGGCTTCAAGATCGCGGAGAACGCCTTCAGCGGCGGCCCGCTGGGGGAGCTGGTCCAGTGGAGCGACCTCATCACCACGCTGTACCTGCTGGGCCACGACGTGCGAATCTCCGCCTCGCTGGCCGAGCTCAAAGAGTTAAGACGCCGCTCACAACCCGCCAAAGACTCCACTTCTGGGTTTTTCTGTTAAAAAAAATAGAAGACGAGTCAGTTGTTTGGTTTCTCTGACCAAAGGGACCCGGGGGGGTTTGGCTGGGTTTGAGCAGAAGCTGAGGGACAGACGGGAAAAGCTGGAGATGTTTGACTTTAAGCTGTAAAAGCGGCATCAGGGGGCTCTGAACACATATTCTGTGCTTTCTGCTTGGGTCTCATCCAGGGTTTGAAATGACCGATAGGTTTATTGTCTGGCGTGAGAAGATCAAAAGCTGTTAGCGCGTCGTGCGCTCAGCTCCGTGGGGTAGGAGGGGTCGGCAAATTAGGTTTTTATATAAAAAACATGCAAAGTAAACAGGGAATCAACAAAAACAACACTTATCCTTTGAAATTCATCGTCCCTCCATGTTTTCTTGCAGTTTATAATAATTTTATGAAAAAGTTCAATGCATGACGTGGTTACGCCGCCAAGCGAGAGGAACTGAGAACGTTTTTAATAATATTATATGATATTATTATTATAGCACAGGGACCATAGCCTTTTTAGGAAATCTGCTTACAAACGAGGTTCTGAAACAGCTTTGATACAAAAAAAAAAATCAGGTCTTGCTACTTAAGCCCTGCTGGCTAATACCAAATTCCCACGAATTTAGAACCCTGGTCTCATCCGTCCACAGCCTGTGATGATGCTTTTTGAAGCCCTCAGCTCCAGGATTTGCTTCATTGTGTTGTTTTCCCAAACACAAAACATGTCCGGCGACTCCCTGACGGTTCTCTGGTGTTTGAGCCCGACACAGATTAGTGAGAACCGGCGGCTTTCTGGAGAAACCCAGTCAGACTGAAGGCTTTTTCCCCTCTTCAGGGAGAATTCATAGATCAGGAATTTCTCTAATTTGATCCCATCTGTTTCATTAGACTTCAAATCCTGTAATTTGAACTGTTGCAGCTTTGCTCCTTTCCAGAAAAATCAACCTCTCCTGACTCTATTTCTGTCCGAACTCTTTTCTTTGCAGGATCATGCGTAAAGTTATGGGGAACAAATCCAGCTGCCCGACTCAGGGGGACAAGATAGTGGAGCTGATCTACATCGACATCGTGGGTCTCACCCAGTTTAAGAAGACGCTCGGGCCCTCCTGGGTCCACTACCAGTGAGTGTGGTGCGGCTGGTTTAGCCTGAGCTGATATTTTTGGGGCACTTGTTGGGTCAACAGGTCCATTCTCCTTTTGTACATCGCCAGAATGTCTCTAAGTGCTCCTCCAGGAGCAAATATGACTTTAGAGAAAGCTCCCGGCGGCTCCGGCTGACGGGAAACGAGGAGGAGCGATGAGTTCAGGGGCACTAATGGCCCCGCCGGCTGCTGCCGTTTGTCACCAGCTTTTGTTTGTCAGCCACGCAGCACCTTAAACTGCGTGTGCTGGTTTGAGCTCTCAGGAAATTGATCCAGCCTGGGGCACAATGTAGCATCCACGTGCTGTTTTCCTGCATTATTTCTCTCCTTGTTATTACAAATTTATACGGGAGCACTTAATGTCACAGCGAGCCTTCGGAGTGCGTTTTGTGGGATCTGTCGGAGACTCTTTTCTTCCACAAAGTAAAACCTTTCAGCCTTTTCCTTCTTCAGAATAAGCAGGTCTGCAGGTCTGTCCTCTTTTCTCTGTGGCTCACGGCTCAAAAACGTCACCAATGGCTCACAGATATTATAGATATGATCTAAAGGAGGTCTCAGAGCTGGGATCGGGGAATCGTGGTTCTACCTTAAGGGTGTTCGGCTGGTTCTGCGGCTGGTGCTGCGCCTTTCTCTGGTCAGGAGACAGAAATGGAGCCGGGCCTGATGGTGATTAATGTGTTTTGCTATTGCCGCTGGCCTCTGGCTAGCAGGCCCTTATCAGTGCGTTTCATACGACTGGAGCTGAATGCTCACAGCTATTGTTGCCCTGCATGTTTTAAAGCAGGGAGCTCGACTCCGACTGTAAAACGAGGCTTTCCTTCCTCCAAAAGACTGAAGAAATGAAAAACTCTTCTTTTTACCTCTTAGTTTAACATGTTGACATCTTCATGAGATGCTCAAAAAGGATCTTAGATATTCTCTAGATCTGGCAAAAATGCTTTAAAGCTGAATCTGTTTTATATTCTAAACTTAATGAATGAACAAAAGCTCAGATAAATAATTTAAATAGTCTTTACAGATCAGTGTAATCCTCCTCAGGATCAACTAAAGTCTGGACAGAGTCCTGTTTTCCATTCGGTTCCATCAGCTTACTTTTATTAACTCATTTTAGTGCATTTTTTTTTATTTTTTTGTGTTTTGGGTTTGTGTCCATTTCTGCCAGAATTCAGCTGCTCAGCAGCACATTTTCAGCCAGAGAAGACATGCAAATAAACAAGTTCAGAGGAAGATGAATGAATCTGAATCACAAAAAGGAAGAGGGCATCCCAGGAAAAGAGAAAATGAATATATTTAAATAAAGGGTGGTAAATTAGATAAGCAGCAGCATTGAAACAAGCTGAAATAAAAGCAGATTTTCAGCCTCTGCAGAATGAATTTTCTTATTAGAGTTAGGAGTTTTGCTCCGTATGAAATGATGTATTTTTCCATTTCGGATTATGGCAGTTTGGGTCGGTCCTGCTCTGCTGCTAATTGCAAAATTGCCTCTGCATCCTCTCTTCAAACTCCCTTTTGAAAATCTTTCTGTGGTCAGATTTGAACGTTTTTAACACGATTTAGGTTGAATTGTGGTTCAGAGCTGGTTGGAGACTGCTGCTTCCTTCACCAGGAAAGAAAACATTCAGATCCTAATAAATAAAGGAAGGGCATTGTTCCAACACTTCCTGGGTTATAGCATGGCTGGATATTTGTCTCATGAGGCAATGAACTCAGAAAATAAGAATAAATTCATGTGACTTTCTGGATGACAGAGCCCTGCTTTGATGGCCGTCCTGTAAAAGTCAGTCTGTTTGTCAGCTGTTGGCCTCATCTGCCAGGAAAGGGGGGGGGGGTCCATCTGAGCCTTTGCCTGATGCTTGTGACTCGTTATGGGGGAAACCAGATCCATTTAAGGCAGTTCAAGCTTAACTGAGCCTGGACTCTTACCTGGTTCTGGTTCCTGGTCCTGGAGGCGGCAGGCTCCTCTTTCCGGAGGGCGTTTCCTGCTGGTGGATCCGTTTCCCCAGCCAGCTGTGCAGCATCTGAGTGGGCGGGCATACAGTCTCTGAAAGGGTGTGTGCATATTCACAGCATATTTCCCCCCCAGAACACTCTCCCCTCAGAACAAAAGGCACAAAAGCTGCAGTCAAACTGTCGGCAGGGAGAGGAACAATGAGGCGGCTTGATGGTGCCGAGGATTCAGATGAGAGTCAGGAGGTAGCGGACGCTGTGAACAGGCTTTTGTGGATACACACAAAAGCCCACTTTAAATGGTTTTTTAAATCTGTGCTGCTGGTTTGACTCACGGGAAGCTTTAAACCAGCTGTGTGGAACAATCTCTGACATCCAAAAGTCCGTTTGGAGCCACGCGGCACACCTTCCACCTCCAGCCGAGCAAAAACAGGGACCAGTCAGCCCTGTAACCCACTCAGAAGAAAACATGTAACTTTAACTGGATCAGGAAACGTCCCCAGATAAGCCTCTGAAACCTGTGATCCCCCTGAGAGTGCGTGCTGCCTTTGGGGACCGGTGATAAACCCAGGAAATCTGAAACTGGCCTGATACAAGAAAGATAAAAATTTAGAATGATGTCAAAAAAAATTTCTGTGCATGATTTTAAGGGATTAAAGCAACATTTAGGGAGGAAACTTCAAGGAAAACTGTTATTTTACAAGAAATCAGAACAAAATGAACCGATTCATACGTGATTTAGCCAAAAATAAGATGTTTTCTGCAAAAAAAAGTGTATTTATACAGAAACCTACTCGATCAGTATCATACAAAGATGCGTGTGTGATCCCACAGGTGCATGCTGCGGGTGCTGGATTCGTTTGGGACTGAACCCGAGTTCAACCACGCCCACTACGCCCAGTCCAAAGGCCACAAGACGCCGTGGGGGAAGTGGAACCTCAACCCGCAGCAGTTCAACACCATGTTCCGTAAGTCTGCTCAATCTGCCACCAGAGCGCCCAAAAAATGGGGCTGAATTTCGGCCTGTTTTGTTCCAGGTTGAAACAGATTGGTTCGCTTTCATTCTGCCCACCTCAGCTACTTTTCCTGTGCTTGTGATTCATCCTTTCAGCTGCATTTTCACAGATGAATGAGGCGGTTTTTGCTCCATAAAAGGCACAAGTCTGCTCCATCTAATGGCATCTCATCAGGCAGATTAGTAAGCGGGAGGTCAGGTTAGCTGCGCCTCTTCTCGCTGTGATTATGAATGTGGGACGCTCAGGTTTTACAGCGCTCCCACGATAAAATCGCTCTGTCACCGGGCTCAATCGCGTCTCCAAAGAGGAGGGAGTGCGTCCTGCGGAGCGAAGGGAACGGGCCCCTGGGGTACTGACCTTCTCCCCACGGCCGGGGAAAGTGAAATGTTAGCCCCTGTGTCCTGTTAGCAGGGTGATGCTCGGAGCGGTGCAGAATGCCGGCGTGCTGAATGGGGCCTTTGTCCGCCGGGCTGGGGGTATCTCTCATAAAACACCGGGGCCTTTTGCACAAAACCCGGCCAGGAGTCGCCAGGTTAGATGATATCGCCGGGGAAACAAGTGCACGGCAGTTTGGCTGAACATTAAAGCCCAAGAGTGGGATCACTTCCAGGCACGAGAAACACAAAAGATGGGATTTCCCCCCTTTTATTCAGTGGGATGCACGACACCTTCCCCCCAGGCGCACGAGACTCGCACCCAATCCGTCTGAAAGAGTTTTTTACTTCAGTCTGAACCACTTTTTCTCAGATGTAGACGTAACAGTGGACAAATCAGCTGGCAGCGAGGTCATTTATCCTCAGTCTGGATTGGTCCATTTCTTTCCATTAGGCCGGGCTCCATTAATCTCGGGTCGGGGAATGGGGGGGTGTGTGGCCTCCGGTCAGGAAGACGAGACGAGGTCCAACGGAGCTCATTAATCTGTTTGTGGATCTGGATTGGAGGGAGTATTCTGGATAAATTCCTGTGGAGGCCGAGAGGTTTAACTCGCTGCTTCTGCATTTTTGTTCAGTTTTAGTTTTATAAATAGTGAAATAAAGACCAGATCATTTGCCAGTTCTCCTCTCATGTGTAAAACCTTTGAATTTCTATGGACTTCTCTCTCTTTTTCACGACTGTCTAAATGGATTTAGTGGAGAACCACAGTAAAACACTGTAAAATCTCCCTCTATGGTGGAATCGGGGCTGTAATTTAGCTGTAATTGAGCTCCTTCCCACCTTCTTTCACATCTTTGTGATTCATTAAGAACCAGAACAGTCCGATCTAACCACCCAGTTATTAGTTTTACAGTTGAATCGGCTTCATAACGTTCAGGTTGAGCTGAAATGCTGATGATTCTCTATCAGATTGGACCCAGAAAGGCAGATTCGCCCCCCCGAAGAGCAACAAAGCAGCTGTTTTTCCCTGTGCGCCGTCCTCCCGGGCTGTTGGTTAGCTGGTGCTAAGTGGAGCCGCTGCAGGCTGAGTGACGCCTGGAGTGGCGGCTCTGGTGGGAGAAGTGGCATCTGTTGCCAGACGCATCAAGAGGGCTGAGCACTAATTACCAGCCTGTCCTGTTTACACAGTCGCTGTGAGTCTTCAGAGCCCGAGCGCACATCTGCTTATGGACACCGGTGTTTTTATTAAATATTCTTGCGTAATCCAAGTGATTTGTTCTAAAAAAATCATATTAGATTCAGTTTTATGGCCATTAAGAATAAAATACTTGCCATAGGTCTGCGTCTGGAAGATGAAGAGTCCTAAAAAGCTGCTCCTCTTTGGGCTGCTGCCCTGCCAGTTTTATATGTTTCCCACCTGATTTTGATTTAAACGATTAAGTTTTACAGTCTGCCAATGGCGGATGATTAAAATCAGGTGTGGATGCAGGGAAACATCCGATCTTTAAAGAAAAACAGTCGCATTTCTTTAGAAATTCAAAGGTTTTAAACTTCAGAGGACATTAAAAAGGGATAATAAGAATAATAAAAGAGGACATTTTACACCCAGTCATTATTTATGGTTCAACCCAAGTCAGAACTGACTTTTTTTTAGCAGGATATTAATTTGCTTAATATGCCTGGAATTTCTTGAAAGGCTTTAGTTCATTCTGGTTACTGAGCACCTTTCTGTCCTTCCTGAGGGCCGTCGGGGGCTCGTTCATTGGCTCCCTGCTCCGGTTTGGTGTGTGAACTCCCCCGAGACGCAGAGTGAGCAAACACTGAGTCACATTCCAGCTGAAGAGACGTCCCTGTGTTCGCTACAGAACGTCTTTGTTTCTGCTCATATGCACCTCAGCTGAGCTCCTATTAGGAGCGGGCTGCCCCCCCTCCCCCCCTCACCAACCGGGGTCGGTTAGCCTCTAGCTGCAGTCTGTAGGAGCCTTGGCTGGCCATTTTGATTAGGTCATGTGACTAGCAGGTTTCAGAGGTGGAAACTAAACTTTACAGTCTATAAGAAATCGGAAGACAAACGATGTCCTAACCCTAACCCTAACCCTCCACCCTTCATAATTTGTGAGATATAAATATTTTTTGGTGAAACTTGTTTGGATTTATCTTACAAACCTATTTAACATGCACTATTTTAACACAATATTATGTATAGAGTTTAATTCAGTGTTTGCAAGATTCATTTTACTATTTTTAAATTAATGTCTATATTGCCACGTAGCAATTACGATTTTCTTGCCTGGGATCTTCCTATTGGTGACCTAATCAAAATGGCCGACAACAGGCTGTGGTGAGCAGCTCTGGCCAGAGCAGCCCTCTGGAGCTGACCCCCCCCCCCCCAGTGACCCCCAGACCTGGTGGTGTCCTCCAGGTCTCCCGTCTGTGCTTCCAGCCCTCGTCCACTCGTCTGTTTTACGAGGCAGATGGTTTGCGAGGCGCTGCCAGCCTGACCTGCCCCTCCTGTGGTTCCCATGGAGACGGCTTCTGCCCGGCGTGGGGGGGGCAGAGACTGACTCTCCTCTGTGTTTCCGTCACAGCTCACACGCCGGACAACAGCTTCCTGGGCTTCGTGGTGGAGCAGCACCTCAACGCCAGCGACATCCGGCACATCGACGACATCAAGAGGCAAAACCAGTCGCTGGTTTACGGAAAAGTCGACAACTTCTGGAAGGTATTGTGGACCCTTCTGCACAGGCATGTCCTGTTCAAAGGCTCTCTGGTGCCTCTTCACTCATTTTCAGTCCAATTTTCTGTTAGGCCACTGAAATCTGAGCTATGAATCATTCAGGCACAAAACAGGCCCCTAACTCAAGGGATGAGCCAGTGTCCAGCAGTTTAAAGTGGATCTTTAGGCTTTTTTTAGCAGCAACCTGTCACAAAGACAACTAATTTGTTCCCATTTCTTTAGCTGATGGGTATAAATTGTCAAAGTAAACACAGTTTGACAGACAGGAAACAGGATTTTAGCATCAGCATTGAGTCTAAATCAACATAATCCTTGTGGTCTTTTACGTGCCTGCCTGCAAACAGCCACAGATACTCCTTGAATAATAACTGTAAACTGTAAACCAGATTAAATTAGCTAAGAAACAGCTTTACACCGGCACCGACTCTGAGGAAATCCTCCCAGGAACACGGCTGTTTGGAGTGTAGTCAGGAAACTTTGTTCTCCTCCAGTGCCCCGCCATGCCCCATTAGACTGAATAGCCTATAATCTATTGGAGTTTGGTGTTCTGCCAGAGCATGTTTTGGACTGTGAGCCAGCCGAGAGGCAGCGGTGGGAAGGCTGCACCACTGAGCTGCTACCAGCAGAAACAGACACGCCGCAGCATTCCTGCCCCCCCTCCGGGAGGGAACACCTGTATCCGTCACATGCTCCGATGGCTGCAATTAGAGGCTCGTGTGGAGGAGCTAATGGTGCCGCCGGGTATCGTAACGGCATTTCCATACGTTTAAAGTGCTGCTCAGCGAGGCGTGCAGGCTCCGTGCGCTGTTCTGCCGCGGAGAACTGGAGGTTTCACCCCTCAGATCACTTCAACCAGTCAGCCACAACCCGTGTGATGATTTCTTGAAGAGTTAGAGAGGAAATCAGTGGCTTTGTCTTCATTTTTAAGCACTCTGCAGACGAAGATCTGAGCCGTAAAAGGCGTGAGGTTAAACTCGATAGTCATCATGAAGCCTGTCTTCGCCGTTTCCTCTGATCTGACGCCAAAGGCCTGAATCCCCCCCCCCA